TTTTTTGTGTCTGTCACTACTTTTTCTCAGCTCTCACTGGACCGATTTCTTTTAACAATACGTCAAAAGATCACAAATTGTATCTAGTTGAAGACATTACCCTTAAAAATTTAAAAATTTTCCCTCGTTCCCCGCAAATGGGGGAAATATCCAAAAAAATTACAAATTTAAAAATCGACAAATTTTGTCATTTTTTTCACTTTTTTTCCTTAAAACTTCCATAACTTTTTCAAAAATGAACAAATCAATACAATTTTTTTTTTATAGATGCTTGATATTTTTACCTATCATTTGGTATATTTTTTTTATAAATTTAACCCTTTATCTACCCACAGGAGGTGATTTAAAATGACAACTTTTTCACAAAAAATTAACTTTTGAAAGTGTTCCGGAAATACTGACACTTTTATATATATCTTAAATTAAAGCTAATATAATATACTTTATTAGGGAAAAAAAAATTCGGACTTTATTTTATCTTCATGGTGAAAACAGTCATCAAAGTTAATAAAAAAACCCAGCACAGGGGGGTCGTGTCATAGTGGTGACGTGGTATAGCTGGATCAAGTATAATGATATCTAACAGTGATTAAAATCACTATAAAAAAAAACGCTTCGATGCAAATCTTTAGATAGTGTTTAATTTTAAAAATTTGATGGATTGTTCCAAAAGCTATATGATCTGCTAGTCCCTTATTAATATCCTGATTAAGATTAAGTATAAGTACAAATTTAAAAATCGCTAATTTTCGAAATTTTTTCAATTTTTTTTACTAAAAACTGCCATAACTTTTTCAAAAAAACTTGAAAAAGTTGTCATTTTAAATCACCCCCTGTGGGTAGATAAAGGGTTAAATTTATAAAAAAAAATATACCAAATGATAGGTAAAGATATCAAGCATCTATAAAAAAAAAATTGTATTGATTTGTTCATTTTTGATAAAGTTATGGCAGTTTTTAGTAAAAAAAAATTGAAAAAATTTCGAAAATTAGCGATTTTTAAATTTGTAATATTTTTGGAGGTTTCCCCCATTTATGGTGAACGAGGGAAATTTTTTCAATTTTTAAGGGTAATGTCTTCGACGAAATACGATTTGTGATCTTTTGATGTATCGTTGAAAGAAATCGGTCCGGTGAGAGCTGAGAAAAAGTGGTAACAGACACAAGAAAAAAAACCCAGCACAGTGGGGTCGTTACATAGTTGGGTCCAGTATAGATTTAATCTGACAGTGATTAAAATCATTATCATAAGAAACGCTTCGATGCAAATCTGTAGATAATGTTTAATTCTAAGAAATTGATGGATAATTACAAAAGCAACATTAACTTCTATTTCATTAATTAAACCCAGATTAGTAATTCTTATAATTATATATTATACAATTTTTTAAATTAATTGTTTTTAAATTAATATTGATTTTGATTTTTAATATGATAAAAGTAATCATTTTGAACCTACTTTTTTTTTGTCCTTTAAAATGAAAGTTTTAATAAAAAAAGAAAAGAATTTATTACCATAACATTTAGCTCAACTTGCAAGTTTGAAATTTACATTATTAAATAGAAAAAAATTAAATTGTTAAGATTAATATGCAATCAGGGAATTTTATAATTACTATTTATAGTACATTTATCAGAAAAGTTAGATTTTTTTACATTTTTATCGTAATAGATCACTTAAATAAAAATAATAGTAATCATTTCTAATTAACTTTTGGCGTTTAAAAAGATTTTACAATGGTAATATTCAAAACTTAATTAATTTTAATGATTTACTTTAACTAAATGAACCAATCAAAACAAAGTTGTTAAAAAGATTTACTCAATTGAGCGTATTATAAAATATGATTATAATTGTAAAAATCCATCGTTAAATTTAGGTGAAACTAAAAATCATAAGCGTAGAATATGTGGTAGATCGTGTCAAGTGGAAGCTTAGGATAAGGGTGGCCGACCCCAAGTAGTTGGGATTAAGGCAAAGAAAAAGAAAAAGATTACCAGAAATTCCGGTGGCAATTGACATAATATTATTGTTGTTTGGGAATGTACAATTTAGCGATTAGTTGGGTTTAAAACAATATAGCGTCAAATCAATTACCTACTCTATCGGTTGTATAATAATATACACTATACTTTAATGATACAATAAATAAATAAACTCACACATACACACATATGCATTTATAACATTGTGTCTAATTTTGAATACCTTCTTAGCTTCGTGTCGAAGCTAAAATACGATTTTTGTAAAAAAATTCTTTTTCATATTTTTAACTTTATAACGCTATAAATCTTTAAAAAATGTATGGATGAATACAATTTTTTTATGAGAACTAATATTTATATACATCTTTAATTCGACATACTTGTTTTTTAAATCGGACCATATCCCTTAATACAGGGGGGGTTCAAAACATAAAAATGCATAGAGAAAGTAGAACTTTTTCAACTTAATTTTTGAAAGTGTTCTAGAAATACTGATACTTTTATATATATCTTAAATAAAAGCTTATGTAATATACTTTAATATTAAAAAAAAAAAATTTTGGACTTTATTTTGTCTTCATGGTGAAAATAGCTACCGTATTCAAGAATATGCTATTTTTGTGTGAAAATTCTCGATTTTATTTTTAAAATTTTTAACTTTATAATGCTATAACTATTGAAAAGTGTATGAATCAACATAATTTTTTTATGAGAAATAATATTTTTTAATAATCCCTTTTTCATTCGATATACTTTATCTTAATTAGGATATTAATAAGAAACTAGCAGATCATGTAACTTTTAGAATAATCCACCAATATTTCAAGATTAAACACTATCTAAAGATTTTCATCGAAGCGTTTTTTTTTTTGATAGTGATTTTAATCACTAACAGATATCAATATAATTGATCCACCTATGCCATGTCACCACTGTGCCGCGACCCCCTGTACTGGGATTTTTATAACGAAAAATATAACTATTATTAAATATAATATTTTAATTGATGTTAGTACATATTTAATTATTTGATTGATTTTAAAATTAAATCTTCCATGTATTTACATAATATATAAACAAAAATTAAACTGATTAAAGTATATTGAACACTTATATTTTCTCATACTCAGAAGCAAAACCAAACTTATAAGATATTTTAGTTAATTTATGTTATTTGTTAAAAAGCAATGATCAACCTTTTCCCTTTTAGCGTAAAAAAGAGTAATATCCAAAATATGATTTTTGTGATGTATAACATTGATCATATTAGCGCTATCTAGAATTATTTATTTAATAATAACTTTGATTATAGAATATTCTAGAAGTGATAGGTAGCGCTACATAAATACAATAAAAGTAAATATAAGACATCATGTGTTGTGATATCACAGATCGGAACGTGTACTAAGTTTAATTATGAAACTTTATGATTTTATAATTGAAAGGGATCGCCTCTTAAAAACTTAGAATAAATCTTTAGCAATATCATATTAGTTATTAAGTTATCTAAAAACATAACGTTAACTAATGGATCGATCAAATTACAGGATATTGAGAAATCTTCAGCATTCAACAATAATACAACCCAAAGGTAGTATATTTGTGTTTTTTATTTTTCATTGTTTACTTTATAAGTTTTTACAAATTTTTCTTCATAATATTTTAAAGACTAGAAGGGTTCGGTGGATAATTAAACAATAATGTACTTCATATTTTATTCCAAATTATTTTGGAGTATTATTTCATATTAAGACATTATAATTTAATTTAGTATTGTTACCATTTCAATTGAAAACCAATAAAATAAAAAAATTTTAACCTTTTTTAAAATATATGCATAATCTATGGTCTCTACTATAGTTCCGTAGAAGCAAATAAGGTAAAAACGTAATTACATGGATGAATTTTTTAATTTTTTAAATTCACATTTAATTACACTTGATTTACAGATTTAGAATGGTCTTGGGATCATCTGGAAGCAACTACAGATGTTATTATTGCTGATGATTCGTTTAATATAATTGTTCATCCAAATTCAAGTCGAGGCACTGGAGCTGTACGTGGTAATATTCCCTTTATACCCGGTCAAATTTATTACTGGGAAATAGAAGTAAATGGTTCTCATACAGCAACAGATATGGTAAGTATCAAATAACTTTATAATTATGCTAAAAATGTTTATTCTTATCCATTTACAAAACGTCATTTAAGATTGTTGGTGTTGGAACAAAGGATTTCAATTTAAAGAGTTCTGAAGATAAATACTGTAGTTTGATAGGTTCAGACAACAAATCATGGGGATATTCATACACAGGTAAGTTTTATACATTAAAATATTTGCTTTTAAATTATTTTGGGTAGTAGTTAATATAACTAGGGTAAAGACCCTATATTCCTGTTGGATTTAAGTTTGAGAGTAGTATAATGACATCAGCTATTAGCACACTTACTAGTTTTTTACAACTGTGTATGATCTATCATAAATAAAATGTTGTATTAATATTTTTAGTTTTGAATTAATTTTAGACGTTAATAAGTAAACTAAAGTCTATTTTACTAAACTTTTACAAAAATTCTAAGATAAGTCAAACATAAAAATTACAAAAGTATGGTGGTGAACGGTTAACGACCTCTACCGTTGCCCTAGCAATTATTATTTTATTAAAAAGCTTTGAGTATATATAAAAAATATATTTTATTTCATTTTTATGTTTAGGTGTTAAGCAACATGATGGTAAACGAAAAGCATATGGATTGCGGTTTGACAAAGAAAAAACTCTAATTGGTGTACGATTGGATATGTGGAGAGGTACTTTAGAGTTTTTTCACAATAGAAATCCACTAGGTATGTAAAGTAAAAATGTTTACTTAATTTTTAAGTCTTAACATATGAATAGAGACCAGTTTTATATGCATTTTTAAAGTTTGATAGTCATTTTAAAGGGATACATGTTAGTGCAAATATGTTATTATAATGTAATATTTTTCGTATTAGAGATAAACTATAAATCTAGTTAGAATACATTATTAAGTGTTCAATAAACTTAATAAAAATTTGTACTGACTGATGATGTATTTGAAATAACTTAATAAAATTTAGAAATGCATTTAAATTATATTTATATTTCTAATTATATATTTATATTTCGTATGAATTATTTTTAGGTGTGGCTTATGAAAAACTTAACAAAGAAAATCTCTTGTATCCTATGGTTTGCTCTACTGCATGTCGAACTCAATTTACTGTTAAATATTGTCGTTCATTACCTGTGAATCTACAATTATTATGCCTTCAAGTTTTAGATTCTAGTACTGATTCTATAATGCCACCTGGACTTTTTAAAGAAATTGTCGACTCTTGGTGGATTCCTAAATTATTTCATGAAAATTAAGTTTAAATTTATGATAACTTTATTATTGTGTCTAAAATATTTGATAATATTTAATAATTTTATACTCTTTTATATTTGTTATACTGTATTATTATAATTAAGAATAACTACTGTAATTTTACTTAAAAATTGATTGTTTCTGTAATACTAATTAGGTTATTATTATTATTATTGTTAGTGTTGATGTTTTTGTGAAAATATGACTAATTATTTTAGTGAAATGTAGTTCAAATATATAAAATTTTTCATAGTAAATTTTTTGATAAATTTCAATTTTAAGATATTTTTTAAATTTGTGTTCTTGCTGCAAATTTGACTTTGGACATTTATCACAATAGTACTTTACCTAGTTGCCAAATATATATAAGAAAATTGTTTATCTATTTAATAGTTATAACATAAACTTTACAAGTAACTTGTCATTTAAATATTAATATTTAGTTATTAAATTATTTATTCCTCATTTATTACGAAATATATAGTGTAATAACACGAATTAATAATATGTGTAACATTATATATTTTTAATAATATAATATAGTATTAAAATTCTGGTTTAAATGAAGTTGATAAATATTGTTAACAAACAATTTTTGTGAAATTTATAAAAAATTGTTGATACTTAATTGTTTTTAGTTACAAATACTTAAATAAAATTTTATAAAAGGCTAGGAAAATTTTGTAATATGTAATAAACAAAAATTTTTCATTTGTGTTATCAAATTTTTGAATAAAACCTAGTTTATTATTTAAATGGAAAATAAGGACCAGAAAAATAATAATAAACATAATATTAACCTAGGCACAAAATACAAAGAATTGTAAAAAAATTTAAATTTTATTAACTAAAATATTTTTTTTAACATGATTAATTTAAACCATAATTAATATTTTCTATTTATAATTAATACATTTAATAATTAGTAGATTAATTCACCAACAAAAATTCAGTGACATTGTTCTTGTGACTGCATTTTTAGATTTTTCATAATATTTTTATAACATTTGGTAACTTAATGTCTTAATGGTTACCTATGTCTAGTTCATAAATGAAGATGTTAACCACTAGATTTAGTAATTAAATATTGAAAATTTCAAACAAGTATAATAGAACAATTTATCTAACTACAGCTATTACTATTATTAAAAGTATAATGCTGTAAAGTAGAAAGTTTTTATTTTATAATATGTTTTTTGATAAACGTAAACAATTATAGTATATTGTTATAGTGACAGAAAACAGTTAAATGAATTTTCATAAAAATAAATTTAAAAACGCCTGTTATAATTACAATCAATATTTCTATGTATACGTGAAATAATAACAGTATGATTATAATTATAGTTTTCATTAAGTATAAAATTTTGAAATTTTTTAATTTTTCATTGGTTTAACTAAAATCTTAGCTCTCCATCATAAATTAACCAAAATGGATTTCTGTAATGATATAGTACATTAAAGAAGAAAGGTCAATTAAATCTATTTTAACTTTGATATAGTTTACCAACTATCTGCTCTTTATTTTATTTAAACAAATCTCTATTATTCCAGGTGAGTATAAATAGTTATATAACTTCAGGATGAGATTATGGGTGGACTCGGAGCCAAGGTCCACATATATATATTGATGAATTTTTTTTTTGCCCACAAAAATTTCCTTATAGATAGGGAATTATTTATTATTAAATTTAATAAATAATTATTAAAAACAAAATTTGTTTTTAATATATATTTAATATATGTACATTAATTTGAAGTTCTATCACTGGACAGCTTCCTCATCATTTTATTTATGTCCTAGTTATTCATATGTGATGATTATTGTTACTTATTGGTTTTGTTTACTATTTGAAAAATATTTTTAGGCTTTTTAGTCCGTCTGTGACGCAGCCAGGAACTCTCACATTCCTAAATCTGGCTTTTTGTAAATTTCATTGAAAGAAGTTTATGGAAAGGATAATTTAAAAAGGGTCGTATTTAGGAGTAATCACGTCTTCAACTCTAGAGTTGCATCATCAATTTTTTTTAAAGCTGATACTTACGAAATATTGACCTAAAAATCTTTTGATGTTTTGTCATTAATTTGCTCTTTGGGATAAAAATTTTCTCTAGTATACCTACCAATCTAAAAAAAAAACGAAGTCATTCCCCTAAAATGAGTTTTAAATACTCTCCTGAGTTTATAAATTATCTTATCTAAAATACAAAACACCAAGTTTAATGTTTAATTAGAAGTCAATAGTGCATACTTAAGAAGGGGTATATGAGATGCAGTTTTACGCCGATATATTCAGCCGCTCTTTTACAAAAGCAATTTGGGCGCCCCTAGCATTTTTTTAATTATCGTTATGTGGATATTTTCGAATTGATAAATTTTGTCAATGTAGATATATTTTACGGTTTAAGAAAATCAACACCTCTAAGCTACCATAACCAAGACCCCATAATTAAGGATGATAATGAAGCGGATAGATTTTTAAAAAATATATATATACTCAATGAATATCTCCCCTACCAAAACAATAACTATATTAGTAAATATTTTGATGATGATCACTGATTTTTATGATCTAATGACCATCATTGACGTCAATAATAGATAAATTGAAGTTGGCTGCACTGAATGCTAACATATTTTCTCTATATCCCACTACTGACTGTAATCAGTGTCTACAGTTTACGAACGTTTTTTCTTATAGTTTTTACAGTTTAATGAGATATTTAAAGTAGTTAATTTATCGTAAATTTACATTATTGTTATGATGTCCATGTATACATCTTCAATTGCGGGGGCGTTTTCAGTATCAATGAAATATTCTACGAGTAATGACTCATGAATGATAGTATCTATAAATTAAATGATATTAGTATTGTGCACCTAACATGAATGAAATTTTTAGTTAAGTTTGATACGATCGCTTACCACTTTATGTAAGTAATATTTATTATATTGTTATCAGTTATCATTTTTATACAATTTCACAAATATTTTGTTAAATATCGATAATTAATCGTTTTAATTTAAAGTTAATTAAATTTTTATGAATATATTATAGAAAAATCATGTCATCAATATCGTTACCAAGAGTTTTACAAAATAGAAAAACAAGCCTCGATCAGGAAAGAGAACAATTTGAAAAAATTCAGGTAGCTAAATTCTCTTTAGAAATTTATCTAATAGTTGATAATATTCATAAAATAAAAACAAATGGTTAGTGGTATTTTTGAATATAGTAAATTTGATAAATTTTAAGTAATAATTAAGTGGTTTTAAATATAAATGATCCTTAATTTTTTTGAGACCTAATTTTTGATTAAGAACAGGTGCATTTAGAAATTTATAATGGGAAAGGGCATCAAAAATGTTCACGAAAATAAAACTTATTCTCTGCTCTACTTTCTTATCAACCGCCCAACACTATGAACCATACATCATAGCTGGCCACACAATTTCATACTAAATTTAAAATCTATAATTAGTATTTATTCATATATTATATTTTAAAATCAAAGAACTGCTAATCAGGATATAATTAAAGAAATAAGAGTTGATGTTCCTTTTGGAATAATCCACCAATTTCTCTAAATGAAACACTATCTATAGATTTGCATCGAAGCGTTTCTTATGATAGTGATTTTAATCACTGTCAGATATCATCTATACTTGTCCAATCTATGCCTCGTCAACACTGTGCCTCGACCTCACTGTGCTACCGTTTATTTATGTTGTTTCTTATTTTTAACTAAATTTTTTAATTTATTTGATAATTATCATTAAAGTTTAAAATATTGAACTAGTTCAATCCAAGAACTGTATTAGACTTTCAAAGAAAATTATTTTTAGTTAAAGTGTGTACTTTTATCTGTGTATAAAATTTTAATAATTTGAATAATTGTGTTCTAGGCAGCTAGTATAAGTAAAGCAATTAACACAGCAGAAAACCCTGTTAAAGAAAAACATGCTCGAAGTATTATTTTAGTTACTATTTAAAATATAGATTATTTTATTGAAAATTTATAAGTTTTTTAAAAGTAATCTTTTTTAGATGCTATAATAGGAACTTTTCAAGAAAAAAGTGGTGAAACGTTCTGGAGATGTGTTACTAAATTACCATTACAAGAACACCGTATTGTTGCTTGGAAATTTTGCCATGTATTACATAAAGTTTTACGTGAAGGTCATCCAAATGTAGTACTATCATCCCAAAAACATAGAACATTATTGCAAGATTTAGGAAAGCTATGGGTAAAATATTGTTGCTAAAATAAAAATTTTTGATCTATGATTTTAATTGATAATTCTAAATAAGACATAATTTCTATTTTGATTAAACATATTTAGGTTCATTTGAAAGATGGTTATGGCAAGCTCATTCAACAGTATTGTGAACTTTTACTAACCAAATTAGACTTCCATCGACGTAATCCTGGTTTTCCTGGAAATCTCGTAATTTCAGAAGAAGTCCTTAACCAAATTGGCGACAATGATGTAAATAATTATTTTCAAATGTGTGTTGAAATGTTTGATTATATTGATGAAATTCTTAATTTGCAATCTGCAAGTAAGAACTATTTTTAATGATGTATAAATTATGCCATAAAAATTTAATGTTTTTATTAAACTGTAACCTTAGTATTTGGTTCACTGGATATGTCCCGATCAAATTCAATGACTAGCCATGGTCAATGTCGTTTAGCACCACTTATGCCTTGTATTCTAGACTCTGCACAACTTTATGATCTTTGTGTGAAAATATTATTTAGAATGCATGCCACCTTATCACCAGATTTGTTGTCGGGCCATAGAAAACGGTTTTTAAGACAATTTAATATATTACGCCAGTTTTATTTGGGTTCTTCTAATCTTCAATATTTTAAAACACTGATTCAAATACCACTATTGCCTGAGGTAAATATTTTTATATTATTTGCAATAATATCATTTATAGTTCTTTTTTCTCCTTTCAGAATCCTCCTAATTTTTTAGTTCAAGCTGAATTATCAACATATGTTACACAAGCAGCTATAGTGTTACCCGATGAAGATTTGCTAGAAAACAATAGTATGGTTGGTGAACTAGTTGATTTAGGATTAGGAAATAGTGTTTCAAGTAGTGATGCTAGCCAGAGATCTCTGTCACCTGATTTATTAATTCAGAGGTTTGTTATTGTTCCCTTTTATGCAATGTTTGAATTTTATATTTATATACTTTATTTTTTCATTTTGACAATAATAAATGTTAACTTTAATTGCCATTTTTTAATAATTAAGTTAGTTGGCAATTATTTATTTTATAAAATTATGCCTCAGGCTTACTTTTGGCCGCTATAATTTATTATCTCACTCAAAATATGGATTAAGGTTAATGAAATTGAAAAAATATATGTACATATTTTTTCTTTTAAAAATTCTATTACTATTTTGTGAGATATGATTAATATAGTCTCATGTTGTTATTTTTACAGAATCTTCATTGTGTACCTTAAGAAATAATTGTCTTTAAACTTATGTATATTAATTTGAAAAGTTTTAAATGTAAAATAATTACTATAATATATTTTTTGTGTAATCTTAAATAATAAGATTGATTTGTTCAAAATCTGATGCAATATCTTTATCAATACACATAGATAATACTGAAATTAAATAAATAAATAAATATATTTTTATTAGAGATCAGATAATTCAGCATTTACATGGAGAGTTGAATTCTCATCAAAATTTAATTATTCAATTGAAACAACAAGTTTACACCTTAGAAATGAAATTATCTAAAAAGGTGATTCTTCTATCGAGATTATTAATCAATACATACTTTTATATTTTTTATTTGCTGCTTTATAGGATAGTGAATTAACTCAAGAAAGATTAATTAAAGATGAATTATTACAACAGACCAATTCAATAGCTAATTTTGAAGAACTAGATAGTAAGTTAAAATTTCTATCATAATAATTTTTAAGAATCTATTAATATATATTTATATATATATATATATATATATATATATATGACTAATGAAAGATTATTGTCTTAATATTAAATATTATAATATCAATATTGATAATATTAACGCAATATTTAAATAAAATATCAACATTTTTAATGTTTTTTCTAAAATATTCAAATGAACATGGTAATATCTATTGTTAAAATATTGTACCTTTAACTTTTTAACCCATCTCTTATGGTGTAATAAAAGTGAACTGAATAAAATGTATGCTAAATATGATTTTAGGAACCTTAATATAATTTGTGATTTCAATATTATATAACATTTGTATTTTTTAAATTTTTAGAAAAATATAAACTTTTGGAAGAAAAATTTAATAAACTGAAAGAAGTTTATACTAAACTAAGAGAAGAACATATAACATTACTGAGACAGGTAACTAACAAACAAAATAATTGATTTAATATAGAAATTTTCAGTTTCCTGTATGACTAATAAAACATTTCTAGAAAGCTGTTGTTGATAAATCATTGAAAGGATCAGAGAAAATTACTAAATTTGCGCAAGCTGCCAATACCCTGTTGTTGTCTATTGTAAGCAATAACTTAGTGATAATTGGTAGCAAAGGTATTGGGAAGGTGTAGGAATATTGCGCTTATCATAATTTGTAGTATATTTATTGTTGTCTATATATATATATATATATTTATTTATCATATAATTTATAAGACATAAGTTATTTTTAATAAAAAAAAAAACTTATTTCCTATTTTTGAGTACACATCAATCAAGAATAAAATATCAGAAATCAGTTGTTATCAACATTTAATTATTTTTTTATATTAATTATTTTATTTTATAAGTATTTTTAAATTCAAAAAATCTATGTTTTTACTAATAGTGTTATTTTTACAATAGTTTCTTTTATTTTACTCATAGATTTTTTTTTAATTTACATTGGTTTTCATTATAGGGTACATGGAGGGTAGGGTTTTTGCGGGACGAATGAGACTTGAGAAATAATCCTAGATTTCACAGTATCGTACGATCTTGCTGTGATTAATACTTATTTTAGAAAGAGAGAAGAACATTATATAAATTATAATAGTGGAAGGAATAGATCACAGATTGATCATTTTATGTGGAAGAGAGAGAGAGCGTAGAGCGAGTAAAAGATTGTAAAGTTATATCAGACTAAAGTGTAACTACACAACATAGACTGATTATAATGGAGTTGTGGTGTACCGGAAAGAGAATATACAAAAATAGAAGTAACACGGGGGAAAAATTGAAAGATTCGATGATGGAAATTGAAAGGGGAAAATGAAAAAGAGTTTGTAAAGACGGTAAAAGAGAAGACAGTGTGGAATGTCGAGGGAAACATAAATAATATGTAGAATAGATTTGCTAGTTGTGTAAAGAATACTGCAAAGGAGATTGTCGGTGAGAGTAGGAGTAGAATGCCAGAAAACAAGAAGACCTGGTGGATGGATGAGGACGTTCGAAAAAAATCATAGTTTGAGTAAGAAAAAGCAGTTCAAAGTATGGCAGAGAGCAAAATGAGAGAAGATAAGATAAGGAACGAGCATATAAGAGGGAGTATAGGTGTAGCATCAATCGTGGATAAGATGAGAGAAAATAGACTTAGATGGTTTGGTCATGTTATGATGAGAGAAGGAACGGAAGCTGTAAGAACAGTTAGAGAAATTAATTTTGAAAGAAGAAGACCTAAAAAGAGATGGAGGGATGTAATTGAATGCGATATGAGGACGGCTGATGTGAGCGTAGATGATGTGGGAGATTGTATCAAGTGGAAGTTCAGGATAAGGGTGGCCGACCTCAAGTAGATGGGATTAAGGTGAGGAAGAAGAAAAAGACATTGGTTTTCATTATAACAATAATTTTGATAAAATCTATAAATTTAAAAATTGAACTATACAACATTTTGAGTCGTTCAAATTTGATATTTTGATTTCACTGTTTAAATTTATCTAAAATAAAATTATTAGTTTTTAGTAATAAATATTCTTAAAAAGTTTTAACTAAAAGTATTCTATGAACTACATTCATGGAAAAAACAAACAGTGAAAACATCATATAGATTTCCCGAGTAGTACATAGTAAATATATGAAGATGGTTTAATACTTGATAAAATACTTAAAAAACATATTTAATTATATATATATTAGAAAAACAAATGAAAGTGTATATTTTAATAAAAATACTGGAAATCTAGGGTGTTAAAATAATAAAAGATATACATAAATAAGTATTTGGTTGAACTGTATTGTATATATGAAAAAATATTTTACTCTGTGTATATTTACAATCATTTTTTTTTTAACATTTACTTAATTTCTCTTTTTTTAACTTAAATAATATTTGCATATAAATACAATATAACAATTATCAAAAGTGTACATTTTTTAGAAGTATTCGATATAATAAATTAATTTTTTATTTGCAAAATAATTATTAAAATGAAAGAAAATGTATATTTATATTTTCAGATTAACCTATAAAAATTGTAAATTGATAAAACTATAAATGTTCTAATTTAATGATATAAGTTTATAATATTTGTGTATATTATTTTGGAAAAAGAAAACTAATCAAAGCTGTATAGATTCATTAATTAGTATTTTATATGATCAAATATATTTTTGTCAAATTATAAAACAATAATGTTTTGAATATTTTTTAGAAATCAGATGTTGATAAACAACTGTCTAACCTGCGAACTGTAGAATTTAACATGACGCCACACAGAATAAAAATTGAAGAAGAATTAGTTGCTTTACAAGCCACAGTTGATTCTACTACTCGACAGAATGATGTAACTTCTACTATCAATAAAAGATAACTTATAAGTTGTTTAAAATAATTTTTTACTCGTAGGAATTAGTTTTAAAAACTGAAATGCTGTCAACAGAATTAAACGAATTAAAAAAAAAATTAGAAAATGTAGAGATTATGAAGTCAAATCTAGAATTAAAACTGGGCGAATCAGAGGATTTAAAAATTTTGGAAAACACAAAATGGTTTGGTAAGTATTTTTTGTTTATAAAACAATTATTACTTTAAAATATGTGTTGTACTAATGGTTTGGTTTTTTTTAGAATGTTGTCGAAAAATAATTGAACATACATTTGATATATTAGATGATCCTTCAATGTCTTCATATACTTGCTCTCCTGGTAAGTAATGTTTGGTATTTTTATTCTTGGCTATTTATTAATACCAGTATACATCTGACTTTTAGAGTGTTTGATCTTAATAAAAGATAAACTTGTTGAAGCCATTAATAGAGGAAAAGACAATGCTGCGGTATTAGCTCACTATATTGCCATGTATGTTGTATTTGGAAAAGCAGTATCCAATACGAAGTCTAATCTAAATGATGCTCAAAGTAAGTAAATAATGTTATGTAAAGGTTTATTTTTTGTCACACACAACAAACTGGTTTTGTGTTTTGAATAATTAGGTTTGGCGGATAGATGCAAAGACGTTAGCAGAACAAGTGTTAAACTTTTAACTGCTTGGCAAACTGGTAGTAAAATCGGAGAATATTGTGAAGATTTAAAAAGTGCTGTGAATGATGTTGAATCTATGGCTCTTTCTACACAAGCGACCGAATCATTAGGAGATTTAGTAGAAGATGAATTATCAACCATGGACAAAGCTATCGAAGAAGCAGCAAATCGCATTCAGGTTAGTGGTATCATGAAGTCATGAAAAGAATGGTTGTTATACTCAATTTTCTTTACTACAATTCAGGAAATGATAACGGAAACAAGAGCTGCTCATTCTGGAATAAAACTCGAAGTCAACGAACAGATATTAGATTCATGCACATCACTTATGGCAGCAATAAGAGTTTTGGTACACAAATCGAAAAAACTTCAATTCGAAATTGTTGCCAATCAAGGTAATGAAGGATCAGCAAAAGAGTTTTATAAGCGTAATCATCAGTGGACAGAAGGACTCATTTCTGCAGCTAAGTCAATTGGCTTTGGTGCCAAAGGTCTCTTGTAAGTATCTGTGGTAAATAAAATAAGATACCTAGAAGAATAAATAAAACGAATTTTATATCAGGGACGCGGCAAATGATGTTGTTAGTGCTGATGGTAATCTGTCGAGATTAATTGTAGCATCCCATAGTGTAGCAGCAGGAACTGCCCAACTAGTTGTTGCTAGTCGTGTTAAAGCGCCTCGAGGTAGTAGAAATTTAGATGAATTATCAAAAGCATCTCGTGATGTTACTAATGCTACAGCAACAGTAGTAGCAACTGCGAAGTCGTGTACACAATTGGTACAACAGCCAGGTATATTTGTTTTAGTAGTATTTTGTTTTGATAATTTATGTTAATATAATATTATTATTATTATTATTATTATTACAGAAGACCTAGACTTGGGTGTATTAAATGAGCATCAAACAAAACGTTTGGAAATTGAATGTCAAGTTCGCGTTTTAGAATTGGAGTCTTCTTTAGAGAAAGAACGTATGAAATTAGCTACACTACGAAAACTTCATTATCAAGATGGCGATCAAAGCTAACGATTGGCTTGGTTTTTATTTGCTCTAAACTGAATTGAACATTTTTTAAATTGAATCAATTATTAATGTTGTTATACGTGTTATGACTATTTTATTATTTTATTATTTTTAATTTAGCTACAGTATATTACCGAATTCATATTATTGTATACATTACCTGCCCTAGAATAATTAATATTATCATCAAATAATATCTAGAATCTCTAATATTATGCCTCACAAAAAAAAAATTTTAATTAAATTTTTATTTTTACATATGAACAATAAAATATTTTATTTTATTATTTTTTTAAGTTTAATTTTTGTTGTCAATTTTACATCTATTTGCTTTTACATTGTTAATAACTTTTTGTAAACAATTTCATCTTAACAATTATTTACACAACTGAATATTCCATTTTACTAGAATCGCATTGATGATTACTCTCATTCTTACCTTAGTAATTTATTGTAACAAATTTTTTACACGTTTATAACTAACTAATAATTTTTTTTGTTTTAACTAATCTGATATTTTTATACTTTTGTACTTCTCCTATTACTTTATACATTATATTTACTTTATTTGCATGTGTTGATACTAATTAATGTTTGAAGATTATTGTAATTTCAGTTAGTCATATCACCCGTGAAACACAAAAATGTACTTGTTCCTTTTTATTATAACCATTGAATTAATTCATTTTTGTATATGATCGGATCAGTTATGTAATCTCCGATTTCGTATATTAATAAAATATATATGATATGGTATCTATCTCACATATGTATGTTTATTGTGTTCTTAACGTATTTGCAATCTGCATGATCGTACATAGTTTTAGGCATAGTAAAATTATCTAATATACTTTTATGAACGATCATAATTGTGTACAAGTTAGCTGTTCCACGAAATTCCTCAATTATCTATCAATAATGAGCTCTATTGATTCAAATCAATCTTCGGGACTACATTATGAACATCAAAATTCGCGTATAGCACGTTAGTGAAAGATAAGAGTTCAGTTACTAAGGTGTATCACTATACAATTAAAATCGATTATGTGGGCCGTTCCCGGTGGTACTGCAATACCGGGTCAACCCGTGGTGGAGTAGGAGCAAGCCCCAATATCTCCACCGTAGTGAAAAAATTAGTTTAACATTTGAACGATTCGATGAATCGTGTATCAGATGTTAAGCTGATAAGAACAGATACTACACTTTGATCTTAGCCGATAGGCCGAGAAGCGATACCCAAAGTGCTTTATTCAGAGGTATTTAAAAATCTAAAGACAAAAAAAACTATGCAGTAATTTGATTAGGTTAGTTATGTCTTCTATGCATCAATTTTTTTTGTCTGTTGTGGAAATTTATTAAAAATTAATTATTTTCTCAAATATAAATACATATAGTATTTATTTATTTATTTTATATATTACAAATGTAAAAACACAAGACAATTCTTTTAAAAATGCTGAAGTTATTGTAATTTTATATAAGCGCAATCTATTGGTGACAAATCTCAACAATGTTGATTATACTTCGCACTCGATTATTAATAAATAATAGTTTGAATATTGGCCAGAAGAAAGCAGTGATATCAAAGTGAAAGAGCACGCCTTTAAAAACATAATAAAATTTAAGAAATAATTCACGCATTTTGATTTTCAAAAACGTTATGGAAGTTTCAATAATTTTAAATCCATACAATATTTATTATTTGGAACAACTAGATCAACACTAAATTTTTTTTGAAATCATTAACAGTTCCGGTCCTAGAATTATTATTTTTAAATATACATAAATATAGTTTAAAAAAACTAAAAAACCCGCTTTTAAAGTACATCGAACTAAAAAGTTAAAAATAATTTTTAAAATTGACTTAAAACAATAATGAACGAAAAATACTAGTATTATTGTGAAAAAAAGCGTCAGGCGCTCAATATACAAAAAATTTTGCACAAAGTNGTTGAAACCTATCATATCAAACTTAATTCATCAATAAATACTTTGAAAACATTAAAAATGAATGATTTTAATTGTCTTTATGGAGAACATGGAATAACTAACTGTTTAATTGATAAATTGAAATTTTTTTTCAATTTTTGAGGGTAATATCTTCAACTAGATAAGCGTGTTAAAAAAATGTAATGTTTGCGATAAAAATCACTTTCTATCGGGATGTTTTTTTGTATTTAAAACTGCCATAACTTTATCAAATATTAACATATCAAAATAATATTTTTTTATATTGAAACCTTGGATAATTTCCTTTCATTTGATATCATTTTTTTTGAAAATCTAACACTTATTCTGCTCACAGGGGGGGATTTAAAATAGCAACATTTTTACAAAAACTAACTTTTTCATCTTAACTTTTGAAAATGTTCCGGAAATACTGCGTCCTTTCAACATATATCAAATTAAAGCTTATGTCATGTATATAAAATTAAAAAAAAAAAATTTGTCCCGACGACCTATCTTCTATGTGCAAATGGCTACCGTATTCAAAAATATGCTATTTTTGTATTAAAACTCTGGGTTTTGTATTTTATTTTATTTTAAAATATCTTATAAGAGCAATACACTGACTTTCATGAATATTATATAATGTAATTGACATAGAATAAAGTTCATAAGAAATTAAACTTATTTAAATTTTATGCTTTTTTAAGGTCGAAAAAGTAACTTTTAAATTTGACTTAGCTTAAATTGCCAATTTTATCATGCGACGAAACCGTCGAACAGTTGCCGAATCGGTAACACTTGTGTCTCACACGGTAAGGGTTCAGAGTTCGCATCCGCCTGTGTCAGTTAATATTTTGCACTTTTTTTGAGATAGAAAAAAATTTTCAAATCATTTGATTTTTATCTCATTAAGATTCAATAACTTCAATAAATATCAAGGATCCCATATCACTATAGTCTCCCCTCGCAAGAAGAAATTTTTTTATCATATTAATATTATTTTTTACTATGTGTTTTGTTTGAGGCCACATAAATATATATATAAATATATATTTATTATAAATCGGTCCAGCGAGAGCTGAGATTGAGCGTTCACAAACACAAAAAAAATAAATATAGTTTAATAAAACTAAAAAACACGCATATGAAAAAAGAAGGTTAAGTGAGGGTTGGAAAAATAAATCGTGGCCTCAAACAAAACACATAGTAAAAAATAATATTAATATGATAAAAAAATTTCTTCTTGCGAGGGGAGACTATAGTGATATGGGATCCTTGATATTTATTGAAGTTATTGAATCTTAATGAGATAAAAATCAAATGATTTGAAAATTTTTTTCTATCTCAAAAAAAGTGCAAAATATTAACTGACACAGGCGGATGCGAACTCTGAACCCTTACCGTGTGAGACACAAGTGTTACCGATTCGGCAACTGTTCGACGGTTTCGTCGCATGATAAAATTGGCAATTTAAGCTAAGTCAAATTTAAAAGTTACTTTTTCGACCTTAAAAAAGCATAAAATTTAAATAAGTTTAATTTCTTATGAACTTTATTCTATGTCAATTACATTATATAATATTCATGAAAGTCAGTGTATTGCTCTTATAAGATATTTTAAAATAAAATAAAATACAAAACCCAGAGTTTTAATACAAAAATAGCATATTTTTGAATACGGTAGCCATTTGCACATAGAAGATAGGTCGTCGGGACAAATTTTTTTTTTTTAATTTTATATACATGACATAAGCTTTAATTTGATATATGTTGAAAGGACGCAGTATTTCCGGAACATTTTCAAAAGTTAAGATGAAAAAGTTAGTTTTTGTAAAAATGTTGCTATTTTAAATCCCCCCCTGTGAGCAGAATAAGTGTTAGATTTTCAAAAAAAATGATATCAAATGAAAGGAAATTATCCAAGGTTTCAATATAAAAAAATATTATTTTGATATGTTAATATTTGATAAAGTTATGGCAGTTTTAAATACAAAAAAACATCCCGATAGAAAGTGATTTTTATCGCAAACATTACATTTTTTTAACACGCTTATCTAGTTGAAGATATTACCCTCAAAAATTGAAAAAAAATTTCAATTTATCAATTAAACAGTTAGTTATTCCATGTTC